AATAAGAGAAACAGGCCCGGAGAAGGAAAGAGGAAAGGAGATATGCGATTTCTCCCGGAAGCATGGTGGGAGGAGAGAAATTAAGCAACTTAACAGATGTGCTATGGAGCTTTAGTTTTTGATGCCAGATTATTTCAGCAGTAGTCTTGGCCAGGGGTTCAGCAGCCTTAACAAGACAGTTTCTATTTAGAGGATTATGTCTTAGCCTTCCTGTGCATGGCTTATTTCACTTAGCATAATGTCCTCTGGGTTCATCCGTGTTGTCACAAATGGCAGAATTTCCTGCTTCTTTAAGGCCCAGTAAAGATCTCACTTATATGTGGAATTTAAAATAGTCAAACTCAAAGAAGTAAAGGGTAGAATGGTGGTTACCAGATGCTGGGGCTGGGGAGTACATGAGGAGATACTGGCCAAAGGGTACAAAGTTTCAGTTAGGGAGGAAGAATAATTATAATTAATAATCATATATTATATATTTCAAAATTGCTAAAAGAGAATTTTGAATGTGCTCACCACAAATGATAAGTATTTGGGGAGACGGACATATTAACTAATCTGATTTGCTCATTCCACGATGTATACATATAATAAATATGACACTGTACCCCATTAAGTATATACAATTATTGTTAGTTAATCAGAAATCTAAAGGTAGGATTTATGTCTGTTTTCTATTCGTGGCATCCTATTTAACTTGTGAAGCACATTCCCTTTGGACTGAATAATTCTGGTTGGAAAGTGATGTGGAGGCTTGCTGGTGAGGGCCCTAGAGGAGAGGGCACAGTGACCGGATGGAGCCCTTTGGGTGCACCTGAATTTTTCTTGCTTCTGAAGGAAGAAGCACTTCCTATGCTGGGAAGGTGTATGGAGGTGAAAGTGTGTGTTCAGAAGCACTGGATGTTCGCATGAGCTGGGAAGCAGGCTCCGTGCAGTCAGGGAGGGGGCCTGTGTGCTGTGATTGGGTGGCTAGGACACCCCACATGGTGTCCTGCCATGCGCTTTGGACTCTCGGAAGCTGGATGTGGGGACCAATGGGTTGAAGAGCTCAAAAGCCAACCCCCAGTATGACTGGAAGTGCCGGGCAAAGTCAGTGCCCTTCAGAAGCCTAAGGAGGCTCATGGCAACTATTCTCAGGACAGCAAGGAAGAGTGGCTGCCATTCCTACATGTGCTCCATCCCCCCTGACACAAGCTTTCTACGGGTCCTCCAGGGGGACTTCCTCCACCCACTGACCCTCAGTAGAGGGGACACTCATTTGGTTTCTGTCTGTGGCATTGGGAGACTCAGAGAGGATTAAATTAGCATTTCTATCAGCTGGTGACCTTGGGCAAGCCACTTAACCTCTCTGAGCTGTCCCTCAACAAAGATGGGGGTCATGTAAGGATTCTGTGATATACATGTGCAAGCTGCTGTGTAAGATAAAAAGTGCTATCCAAATGTTAGTGTTACCATTTTAAGCTCACCTTCACCATTGTTTAAGATACTCTGATTATCACTGTAGAAAAGCCAAGCCAATAAGGCTGTTGCCCTCAGTGGGTCTCAGTCCAGCAAACTGTGAATGAGCTCCAAGCACCTAACAGTGTAACAGGTGCAGTCTCCTCCAAGGACATCCTCAGCAGACTGTTCATACTATTTCTCTTGCCAGCCAGGCTGCTGCTTTGGCTCTCTGGGGTCCAAATTCCAGGTGGGTTATCACAGTAGAGTTCTTAGTGCTCCAAGAAGGCAGTGCCTGCCAGGGATGCTAGGGGTGCCCAGATGCCCTGTTGGATGGTAATAGATAGGCAGGCTGAGAAACCACAAACTTTGTGCCCTCTTGGCCCTGAGCCTCTATTTGGCATGAATAGAGTATGGGGTTGAGGCCACGAGGTTGATGACATCCACTCTCCAAGCCCCTCCATGTGTTATCATGGATGCCTGCCCCTCTACTTGTCACCCAGCAGGTTCCCAATTCAGGAGTCCCTCCCCACTAGGTTAGATTACTGTGGTCACTTCCCAACAGGCCTCCTTGTACTAGCTGCTTTTCCTTCACTCTGTCCTACATGTGTGATCAGATGTTTTCCCATTATCTTCTTCATACAGACTCAGCTGCATTCTGGAGTTTTCTTGTACCTGTGCCCTCTTTGCAGTTCTTAGTCCAGCCTCACATTCCTGAGCTAGCTATTCCGCCCTGCACAGACCTTCTTTCTCTGGATCTTCCTCTGCACCTTCTTGCCTATTTAATTTGATATGTCGACTTGACTGGTCCACAGGGTGCCCAGATATTTGGTCAAATGTTATTTTGGTTTTGCCTGTGAAGATGCTTCTGGATGAGATTAACATTTGAATTAGCAGGCTGAGTAAAGCAGATTGTGTCCCCCGTTGTGATGCACCCCATCCAATTCACTGAAGGTGGCCTGAATAGAACAAGAAAGCTAAGCAGGAACTCCTCCTGCCTGACTGCCTTTGAGCGGGAACACTGCTTTTCTCCTGCCTTCAGACTCAAACAGAAGCATTACCCTTGCTGGGTCTCCATTAGGACCCCACAGATCTTGGGACTTGGAAGCTCCCATAATCATGTGAGCCAGTTCCTTAGGATAAATCTCTTTCCATATAAACTTTTATAAACTATACATATAAAAGTGTATACAGAAAAGTTAGGCAGTTTTGTCCTTGTGGGAACATCATAGAGTGAGTGCACTTACACAAGCCTAGAAGGCATTGCCAACCACACACCCAGGCCATATGGTATGGCCTATTACTCCTAGGCTGCACACATGTACAGCAGGTTACTGAGCTGAATATTGCAGGCAGTTGACGATGGCAAGTATTTATGCATCTAAACATATCTGAACATAAAAAGGCTATAGTAAAAATACAGTGTTTAATCTTATGGGATCAGTTTCATATTCAATGCATTGTTGATGAAAACGTTGTTATGTAGCACTTGATTGTACATACACACACACACACGTATACACACATTATATGGGTTCTGTTTCTCTAGAGAACTCTGACTAATATCCTGCCTTCTATCTGGCTTTTCACTACACACTTATTTCCCCTCTCTCTCTTCCTTTATGCAAAATAAGATCCCTGCTCATCTTTCAGGATCTAACTTACTTGACATCATATTTAAGATTTGGGAGCAGAGGACATCCAAGAGGCTGTCGTCTGCTCCCGTCACTGCTCTGTGCTTCCACAGCACTGTCATTGAGCTTATGTAATTGAACTCACCTTGTGGTGTGTTACAGGTATGTCCGCACACGTCTCTCTGCAACATCACAGCTCAAGGGCGGGGCCCTTCCATCTCCACTTCTCTCCTCCCTAGCTTAGGGCACTGGAAGGCTGACAAGGTATTGAGAGAACTGCAATGAATTAAGTTGGAAACAAGCCAGTGGGAGACAGCTCGTGGCCCTTCCTAAGAAGATGAGATTTCAAGGTTGCTGTGGGGTGATGTTCCAAGCAGAGGTGACAGCTATCAGCATGTGACATTGTATAGCACAAGCTGGGGGTTTCACACCCTCACTCAAATTCCCCCTAGCATGTTCTATAGCAGCAGTATCACAGAGCATTAATAAAATCAATTATTGGATAAAAATCTCTGGTCTCCAAAGCTTCATTTTGTGCTATTAGCAGGAGAATGCTGTTTCAAAAGGAGATAACAAAGAGGAAGAAAGATCAATTACTGGATAAGCTCATGGCAGTGCCTGAGATGAACGTGCAGATGGGCGAACCCCTCCCACCCGCCGTGTGGGCCAAGTGTCTGCACTGCTGTCTGCTCAGCCTCCCCTGGCCATCCCGGTCAGCTTCCCCTAGTGCAAGAAGTGCCTTCTGCTCAGTGGTGGGATGGGCAGCTCTCAGCTCAGCTCCCTTGGTACCCAGGCAGCTTGAGACACTTGCATGACCACTGGGGTCAGTAACATCTCATTGTAAGGGATGTTGGCAGCCCCAGCCACAAGGTTCCAGGTCAGAAATGGATCAGCGAGTTTTTCCTAGAGACAAAGCATCTTATGATTCAGATGAGTCTGAACGGTGTGAGCTCTTTTGGGTATCAGCTGGCTCTTCCCTAGGGTTGAAGTGTATCAGAAACATGTAACATGGATTGAGAGGTGGTCTCCAAATATAAGCATTGATCTTGCCAAGGCCTTGAAGCCCACACCTCCTGCTGGCTGTGTGGACAGTCTGTTGGCTATGGAGCTGATGTGGGTGAGGTGGACCTGGACCCAGACCTGACAGCCTGGACTCTGTCTGGGAGGCATCCCATCACTTCCTCTGCTGGAGGGCCCAGGAGACAGAGCTCTGCTTTGTGCTCTGCCATGTTCCACCTGTGCCACCTCCTAATCTCTCTAGACCGCATCCTTCCTACGCATCTCAGAGGGTTTGGTGAGGTTGAATGAGATCATGAATACAGAAAGCACCTTGCACATTCTGAAGTGCTGCGTCCGTGTATAGTGAGGGTTATTACTCTCTCCTCCACTGATGCTTCTAAAAATAATCAGATTCCCAGGTTAGCAGGGGGAAGGGAACACTCAGGATATCTAGGGGGTAGCACACCCTGCTAGATGGACCATCTCTTTCCTGTTCCTGCCTTTCCTTTAGGGAAGCGGGAGAGAATGACACCTGTGCACCTACTCTGTGCCAACTTCTGGGCCAGCACTTTTAGGCCAGCTGTTCTCAGATTGCCCTGTAGAGAGGTCCTCTGGGCTCGGGAAACTGGAATTCAAATCCTAGTCCTGCTGCTTCCAAATTTTGGGATCTTGGACAAGGTACTTACCTCTGGAAGCGCTTTCCCTCTGTAGAATGTGCTTTATCCATCTCCATGGGCTCCCTAAGGTGGAGCAGCCGTTCCTGCCACTCTGTCTGGTGCTGTTGAAGGGGCTTTGCTAATGTGCTGACTCTGTCCCCATCTTTGAGCCATGCCATGCCACAACAAGCCTGGTCTCTGGGATGGGGGACTGAGAGGCTGATAGGGCCAGCGCAGTGCAAGCCTTTCTCATGGACTTCCCATCCCTGTCTCGCAGCCTTCCGATGCTGACTGGGATGACCTGTGGGACCAATTTGATGAGCGACGATATCTGAATGCCAGAAAGTGGCGCGTTGGTGAGGACCCCTACAAGCTGTATGCGTTCAACCAGCGGGAGAGTGAGCGGACCCCCAGCAACCGGGCTGTCCCTGACACTCGCCATTCAAGGTATTTCCTCCTCCCCCCACTGCATCTCACACCCCTCCCTGCAGCCTTCAGAGGTCAGCAGCAGGCTTGATTTGGTGGTCTACCAGGACCCAGTACTGAGAACTGGGGGTGGGCAAACCATCTGTTACCCGTGAGATATGGAAAACAGTCACCCTGTCAATGCTGCTTCCTGCTTAGTCTCAAGAGCCAGGCCAAAGCTCCTCACTTTCCACTGGGGGGTGGGAGAGGATGGGTGGTCCCGTCACCTGTACTTGCCTCCTCACTGGGGGTTACCACAGGTGGCACTTGCCAGAAGCTCCTGGAACACTAAAAACGCTATAGCCAAAGCTTGTTTATGCCTGGATGTGTCCCACACCTGGGGGAAGGCAGGATGGGTGGACCCTGGGAAGTCAGGTGGGTGGTCTCTTCTGTCCCTGGGAGAGACCCTTCCTGTGCCAGCCCCTGCACATTTTGCCATATGAGTAGAGAAAGCTGAGGGGGCTGCCTTGGTTCTGCTGTCTGCCTTCAGAGGGGCACACTCACTCAGCCTCAGTTCTGCCAGCTGTTCCTTGATCGGGCCACACCTCCAGTGGCTTACAGAGATCAGTCTTGATCCTATGTATAAAGCTTTATGTCTCTGCAAAAAGAGGCTTTGTGAAGACACTTGGCCTCTTGACCTTCCATTTCAAGAGTCATGGTTTCTGGGGGGGAGGGCTGGTGAGCAGATCAGTCTCAAACTCAGCTTGGGGGCCCAGAGGTGCCAAAAACCTACTTGGTGTTTCCTATCTGCTGCAGGAAATTAACTTGTAACTGGCCCCAGATAGCAGGCTGGCATGCCGGGGGGAGGATTTGAAGATGATGTTACATTGAGAAGCTTGCTGTGATCCTTTGGGTCCATGGTCCCCTCATGATGGACAGGCGGGGTGAGAATTTTCATGGCCTATGAGGCTGATGACACTGGTGGTTCTTCAGTTGGACTATGTGAAGGCTAGTGGGCTCAGTTTTCTCATCTAGGATGCACAACTCAGAAACTTGTCTAACACAGCCTGTTTCCCATGGGGGAGCTTGAGCATTAATCACTATTATTACTAAAAGAAGCTGGTGTCTTGGTTTCCCTGTGAGTACAGCGAGGGGGATAAACTGGGTGATATTATGGCCTCCCCTAACTCTGACAGCCTCCAGAATAAACTCCCACAACACTCCCTGTTAGCCACAGTGCCAGGTAGTCCCCTTCAGCTAGAGTCCCAGGGCTGGGCTGTACCTACTCCCGTCTGCTGGCTTGAAAGCTTCTCAGTGTTAGAGTCCTATATTATTCCTATTTAAATTCCCCAGCACTTATCCTGATCCTTGGTGTCTGAGAGAATTTTATTTAAATATTAGCTTCTTGTATTTCCCTGAGTAGAAATGAGAGGGAGAAAGGGATGAGATAGGAGTCTGAGAAGCCCCCTGGGTCTCGGGTGAGTGGTCCCTCCCTTGATCTGAGTCCAGATGCTGAGGCCCTCCAGAGGGGCAGGGAGACACCTCCTAGCTGGAAAAGTGGCTGCATCTGGGTAAGAGCCTTTAAGAGAAACTTGTGGCTGCCCTCACCTGCAGAAAGGAGGCACCAAGGAATTCTCTGGGCAGGCGGGCACCTGGGGATGCCCTGAGCAGGACCAGTTTTTGTACTTGCCCTTTTCTACTATCGATCTAGAGGCACAAAGGAGGGTTTTACAAGGGTGGGGCATATGTGCTGGTAGTGGATGGAGACTGAGCCCGTTCCCAAGGAGCCCAGCCCACGAGGTCCAGTTCCGGGCTTTGTTCCTAACCCAGGCATTTCATCTGTAAAGAAAGTGAGATCTGTTGGGTTTGCAGCAAGAAGAGAAGAGAGGATTTAGACACCCTTTGGGAAGACAAAAAGGGAATGTGTATCAGCCATATGTCTGCCTCAGGGCACCAACTGAGCCCTGTGAGAAATGGGATTGTGTTACTCAGAGAATTTCAGGCTTAAGGGACTTCTGAATGTTCGGGAAGAGGAAAGGTGGGAGGGTGGGGGGGGGTGTTGAGAATGAGGCCAGGCAGCACCTGGGACCAGTAGCTGACTTGGGGGTCTTGTATACCTACGTGGGCTAGCCTGATGACGGCCACCAGTTGATCGGCTGTCGCCACAGTGACTTTGGCAGAGTGCCAACCTCATACTCCAGACTGCCAGCAAAGCCCTGTGTTCTTCCCTCACATGGGCCCTGCTGGGTGGAGACATCTGTCTGTAGGGTGCCCCACTCCCAGCCCTTGATTCCCAGGGAAACCCTAATTGTGAGGTTGGGCTCACCAGCTAGGTCTTTAGTTCTTTCACAATCCTGGTCTTCTTGCTGCATCTAGACTTCATCCTGATGCAATGCCTGGGGCTTGCCTGGCCAGGCTGACAGAGCCCTGGGGCTCACTTTGGCCTCTGCTGAACCAGTTACGGCTGCAGTGACCTGCATCTTATGGACTGGGGATTCTTCAGCTCCACGACCTCTTTGGCTGGATGACACTGGTGCAGGGATGTCTCATGCACCATGGGATGTCTAGCAGCATCCCTGCTCCTACCCATTCGATGCCAGTAGCACCCCTGCCAAAGTATGACAACCAAAAATGTCTCCTAACATTGCCGTATGTCCCCTGGGGAGCAAAAACTCAGTGAGGATCACTGCCCTCCTTTTTACCTAAATTCTCAGAAATGAAACAAGAATATGCATTGTCAACTCTGTCGCAAGCCACAGGATGTGTTCAGGCCTTGTCTGTAAAGCACAGGGAGGCAGAAGGTAGCACAGGCCAAGGGTTCAGGTCATGGTCTGTGGGATCAGACTGCCCTGTCTCTAATCCATCCTGTCTGCTGTGGACTAGCTGAGTGAACTCAGTAGGTGCCTTGCTTCTTGGTGCCTGTTGTCTCTTTTGAAAACAATGATAAAAAATAGCAATACTGATCCTACCTAATTCTGTTTTTATAAGGATCAAAATGTAAAGTATTTATCTACTCCATAGCAAATAGTTTAAAAATTTCAGATGTTGCTGCTATCACAGGGAATGTGGGCAGGCTGATGGCAGGGCATATATTAGACAGGGAGGTCTCGGCTAAATAGGTAAAGGTGCTCAGGGAAGAGACACCACCAAACCCCAGAGTGAGAAAGCAGCTGTATCCCAAGTACAAGGAACAGGCATTATGAAGATCACTTATATTGTCAGGCATTGTGGGTAGGGGAGAGAGCAGAAGTAGGTTTCAAGGTCAGGTTCAATGCCAGAGAAATCCTAGTGAGTGGTGTCGTACCCCTGGGGCTGTGGGATGCTGGCTATGAGGCTCAGCCTTAGCAGTTCTCAGTCCAGGCTTCTTACAAGAATCACTTGCGAATTTTGAAAAAATGCTGAGACTCAGACTCCAACCAGCTGAAAGATTCTAAGCTCTCCAGTGATTCTAGTGAGCACCCAGCTTGGAGAACCATTGCTCTAGGCAAGTGCTCTCAAACTTAAATAGACAAACAGATCACTCAAGGATCTTGTTAAATTCTGACTCAGTATGTCTGGGGTGGGGCCCAACAGTCTGCATTTCCAACAAGTTCCTGGGTGATGCCAACGCCCACTGGTCCACAGATCGCACATTGAACAGCAAGGGCTTAGAACAGCCTTTTTTCAAAGTCTGGTTCCTTAAGCCGGCAGACCAGCAGCGGCAGCATCACTTGAGAACTTGTCAGAAATTGAAATTCTTGGGCCTCACCCAGAAATATTGGATGAGAAACTCTAAGGATGGAGCCTAGAAATCTGTGACATGGCCTGCTCAGGCTTGGAAACCACAAAGCATCAGCTTTCTCATGTGGCTTGTTTTTATGGACCAGAAGAACTTCCCAGGGGTGTTGGCCCAGCTAAAAGGCTTAGGGTTTAAGTGGAGTGCAGAGGCCTTGGAATAAGGCCACCTAACTGCCCACATGCTAAACCCCTCTTCCTCTGTCCAGGTGACACAACTTCTGACTCAGACCCGGCAGAGACCTTGGCCTCTCTTGTCCCTTCTCGTTCCTCCCTCTCCTCCCAGTTCCTTCATCCCCAGCATCCATGCCCTGCTATCCTCCAGGAGTTGGCATCACCTCGATCAGGAAGCCTCTACTGTAGGACACTCCTGACTCTGTGGCCATTGGCCTACACTGGACTCCCAGATCCTTTGTGGGACCCAACCCTGTGGACACAGACTTTGCTCCCACTGTCTGGGCTGCCTTTGTATTCCCAGCAGGTCTTGCAGCTAAGGCCCTAGGGTCACAGCATCAGTTGCCCTCTAGGAGAGTAGCGTGAACATCTACTACAATGTCTGGCCTCTATAGGAATTCAGTAAATGTTTATTGAACAAATAAAAGGGAGGATAAAAAAGGCAATTGACCACTCTCTCCACCTGTCCCCTTCTTGTTGTCCTCCCATCCCCAGAGGCCTCCTATGGGCAATCGGGAGAGCAGACGCAGAGTTAAAGGAAAAAGGCTTTTTCCCTTGAAGAGGTCTCATTACTGAGAAGGAAGACTGAAGACACGCCGTGTGGGAGGGGTCTGAGCTTATTAAATTTGCTTCCAATTTTCTTACCACAGTAATTGGATTCTGATTTATAGGATGCGTTAGGACAGCGCCTGAAACAGGGAACTATTAGCTGAGCATTAGAGCAAGTGCTGCCAGGAGGGTGGGTGCTGGGGTGAATTGCCCAGTAATCTGAAGATGCCACGGGCAGGGAAGGAAGGAGGAGGCTGCAGAGGTCTTCGCCCAGCCGACAGCAGGCTTTCGCCCAGCAGGCCACTGTGCTGATGGAGTTCCGGGTACACTGGCAAGGCCAAGGCCGGGCATCACGTGGTAAAGGAAGCCCGGAGAGCGGCCATTTTTCTCTTGGTGCTTCACCCTGTGGAGTCCAAGGTATTTGTGGAAGGCAGTCCAATCTGCCAGTCCTGTCTGGAGTGCGGGGTTACAGAGGTGAGGGATGGAAGAAGCTAAAAGGGACACAGCTTTGAGCTCCCCTTTCCCAGGCTTTACAGGGCACGGGG